TTGAATTGCTTCTTTCTGGCTGCTTGCAATATTTTCTCCTTGACCTGGGAACTCTGGAATTTGGCTATAATGTTCCTAGGAGTTTTCCTTTGGGGATCTCTTTCAGGAAGTGATAGGTGATTTCTTTCCATTTCAATTTTACCCTCTGATTCTAGAATATTAGAGCAGTTTTCCTTCATAATTTCTTGAAAGATGATGTCTAGGCTCTTTTTTTGATCATGGCTTTCAGGTAGTCCAATAATTTTTAGATCTCTTTTGGATCTGTTTTCCAGGTCAGTTGTTTTTCCAGTGAGATATTTCACATTGTCTTCTATTTTTTCATTCTTTTGGTTTTGTTTTATAATTTCTTGATTTCTCATAAAATCATTACCTTCCATTTGCTCCATTCTAATTTTTTTTTGGCTTTTTTGGTGAGGCAGTCAGGGTTAAGTGACTTACCTGGGTCACATAGTAAGTGTCATGTGTCTGAGGCCAGATTTGAATTCAGGTCCTCCTGACTCCAAGGCTGGAACTCTGTCCTCTATGCCACCTAACTGCCCCTCCATTCTAATTTTTAAGGAAGTATTTTCTTCAGTGAGCTTTTGGACTTCCTTTTCCATTTGACCAATTCTGCTTTTTAAGGTATTCTTCTCTTCATTGGTTTTTGGACCTCTTTTGCCATTTTGGTTAGTCTATTTTTTAAGGTATTATTTTCTTCAGTTTTTTTGGGTCTCTTTTTTGGGTTCAGTTGGTTTGTTTTTCATGATTTTCTTGCATTACTCTCATTTCTCTTCCCAGTTTTCCCTCTACTTCTCTTACTTGCTTCTCAAAATCCTTTTTGAGCTCTTCCATGGGTAGGAGTTTTGACATTGTTGTCTTCTTCTGGTTGTATGTTTTGATCTTCTTTGTCACCAAAGTAAGATTCTATGGTCTGATGTTTTTGTGGTGTTTGCTCATTTCCCCAGCCAATTACTTGAGTTTTAAATTCTGTTAGAGTAGGGATCTGCTTCCAGTGTGGAGAATGTACTGTCCCAAGCTTTGTGGGTTTTGTGCAGCCATTTTCAGAGATACTTCTAAGGATCTGTAAATTTTTAGTTCTACCAAGGTGATACAATCAAAGGCAAGGTGTTTATTCCTTTCCTGGCTTGTGCTCTGGTCTGTGATTGACCACAAGCACTCTTTTCTGCCTTGGAACTGTGAGGAGGATTCCCTTTCCACTGCCACCATAAGCTTCACCATGCCAGTGCTCCTCCTCACTCCAGGACTGTCACCCAGAACTATGACCCAAATCCAAGTACAGGAAAAGCAAGAGAATCCTGTCTTGGCACCATCCCTGCAATCCCCTTCTGATCAGCCATTTGATCCCTCTGCTGTCTCTGTCTGGGCAGAGAGCTCTGGAAGCAGCCACCCTTCCAGGCTGCACCCGAACTGGGGCCAAACTGAGCTCCTCTTTCACTGCGGTTCATCAGACTTTTCCTACTGACCTTCTAAGTTGTCTTTGGTGTTTGTGGGTTGAGAAGTCAGGAAACCACCACAGCTCCCCATGATTCAGTCTTCTGAGGCTTGCTTAGGTTTGCTGAGACCTGCTCCAGGTTCTCTGAGGCCGGGAGCATGTGCGTGGCATATGCTGAACTGTGCTTCTCTCCCATACTGGTGCAATAGACCTTTTGAATCAACCATCCAGGTTGTCTTGGGCTGGAAATTTGTTTCACTCTATCCTTGTGTGGGTTCTGCTACTCTAGAATTTGTTTAGAGCCATTTTTTATAGGTATTTGGAGGGATTTGGGGGAGAACTCAAGCAAGTCACTGCTTTTACACTACCATCTTGGCTCTGCCGCCCCCCCCCCGTCTTACTTTTATCATGACTATCCATCCATCTAGCCATTGAAAAATTTGGCAGAAAGTCAAATTCAAATTAATTGCAATAATCGATCTTGATTTCCCTGAAAGAGAAAGAAACATACCATACCATGGATAGGAAGATGGTAGAATATGGGTGTGAAGTGATGCATATATTATCAGATGCAGTCAGTTAGGTTAGGTTTTACTCAATTTTTTCTTTGTCACACTGGAGGATTTGATGTTGGTGTCGGTGGCTGTACTGGAAAATGATGAAGATATTAAAAAAGTGAGAAGTAAAAGTTATCAATTCAGAAAATAAACTTTGGTGGGAAAAATAGTTTATCTATTTGTGTTGTTCATAGCCTTTGTTTTCAAAGAGAACCAGTGACATCATGGGGGGATATCTTTACTTGTATGTGAATTGGATTTAAGTGAGGCACAGTTGCAAAAAGTCATCAGTTTCACTCTCTCTTCCTGGGTCATCAAAGTCTAATGGCACAACAAAAGTCAAGATGACCGGGGATGTTCCAGGATGCATTGGATGATCTTGGCATCTTTGATATCTGACCACACTCTTCATAAAGGCACTAAAACAACAACACAAAAAGCTAAAGATTCAATCAGCCAGATTGATGTTGTTGTTACGCAGGAAACTAAATGAGAGAATGTGGCTAGCTATTTCTCCTGTTGATTCTAAAATTTACTATCAAAGGTACTAAGTATTTTGCAGTAGAGAGACTCCACAATATGGACCACAAAGTCACTAATAAATCAGCAACCCTGTTTGGCATCAGAGAATACAAAAAATGGTGTTGGCTGTCTATTTGGTCTATACCAAGCAATTAACTTAATGGACACTTGAAAAACTGCCAGGTTATTTTAATATCCTATATATACACCCTTTCACACACTGTATTTTCTGACCAACGTGGATGACATACTGTTGCCTGTACATATCATTCCATTTCCCATCTTTGTACCTTTGCATAGCTTGCCCTCTGTGCCTTCAATACACCCCTTCCTTTTAGAATGACTGATTTCCTTCAAGGCTCGTCTCAGGTGCTATCACCTATATGAGACCTCGCCTCTCACCTCTTCTGAAATTACTCTGCATTTGCCTCATTTACAATTTGCATTTAATTAATCTTTATAAGTAAGTAAACCTTACTTATAAAATTGCTTTCTCGCCCAATTAAATATAAGCTCCTTAAGGGCAGGAATAATTTCATTTATGTCTTTGGATCCCTAGCATATAGCATAGCGCCTCGTACAGCATAGCCACTTGACAAATACTTGTTAAATGAATGAATAAATGAATGTATGGTTTCTTCCAGTTGATATCTTGTCAGCAAATTGGACAGCTATTTGTATAGAGTGGAAACACATGCCCTTTAGAATGTAATTATACTGTAATGCTCTTCATTCACAGTTGAGTGTTAATCTCTGTCAACTTTTCCTATTCATTTTTCTTCAATTGTAAAAGCTTACTATGTTTCTAGGCATTCAGCATTTGTTAGTGGTAGTACAAAAAAAGATTTTCCTTTTACACATCTCAGAATTAATGATCACATTTTCTCAAGTCTGGGTTTTGAAGTGACCACACCTTATCAAACTTTTATCCATTCTATCATCCATTGGATCCATTCTGAATGTAGTCTAAAACTGTAATGACTTAGCATATGGACCAGAGCACTCACTGTCTTGTGAAATGGTAGTTCCAAGGGTTGGGAACTGGCTTCTGGGATCTCTAAATCAAGAAACTAATGGTCCAGGAGTCATAAAAATAGTGTTTTAGGGAAAATATTCCACAGATGTTACCCTACATACTGAAACATGTTCCAGAGTATCCCATTACCTATTTTAAGCTTTGCCAGGAGCAACAACTTATTCCTTAGTGCTGTGTTCTGTTTCTGGTATTCTTTAGAATTCCATATCTCATACCTCTGCAGAATTACTTAGACCCCTTGCTCCTTCAAGACTACATATATGTATGTGTATGTGTGTGTGTATTCTTGCCATTTTGTGTGTGTGTGTGTGTGTCTCCATGTCTACGTGTCTATGGGTCTGTGTGTGTATTTTTTTTTAAGCTTGCAATTTCCATGTGTCATCCAAGGACAATTTTTTCTCGGTACTGATTTTCAATTCAGAGAAAACCTGGCCACCCAAGTACAAATTTTGCCATAATCACTGTAGCTGTGGTTCCTTCATGTTCTACCCTTTCCTGTACTTCCTTCAAATGGTAATGTGTAAGTACAACCTAGCAAATTTTCTTCCTTTGTGGGCCAGAGAAACATTTTCCTTTGCTTATGAAGTGGAAAACAGGCTTAATGACTTTTTAATCTCTTATGGAAAATCTAAACCTGGATTTTGGCTTGTGAAAATATGTGTGTGTTGTACCAGTCAACCTTTTTTATTTTTATTTTTTACTATGTAAATCAATTTTTAAAAAATTCTCATGTTCATGGATTTTAAATAAATTCATAAATGTGAAGGTGCTGGAATTTTAAAAGAAGTACTGACAACAGTTCTTGAGGAAAGTAAAATGTTATATTTAGCTATTTTCTGTATTCTTTGAACAAAATATATGTTTCAGGAGAAATCCATTGAGAGAAAACATTCAATTTGTATAGCTCTTTTATGTAAATGGGAGTATCTGAATTACTGTGCTTTTCTAAGAGAAAAAGATAATCAAGGCTAGACTTACCTGCCAAAATCTAAACTTAATTAGTAATCATGGGAGCAAAATGTCATTTGTAGCATAAGATTAATTTGTAGCAAAATGACATTTCTTTTTTTTTTTTCATTGTATATACCATGTGGCACGTTTTCTTTTCCATTGGAAGTCATGGTTGTTCTAAAAAATGAAGTATTTTTGCACTGTTGTTTGCTACTCCACTTATCCCCAAATTTCAGTTTGGAGCCTCTGGCCCCAATCCAGCACTGCTTGTCAAATACACTCAATATGTAAATGCTATGACCCATTTCAGGGCCAAGTAATCCTAATTTTAGTAATTTGCATTTGTCACTTTCCTTTAAGTTCCATTACTGTATGTAGAAATTGTACATACAACAGACCAAAATATTCAACAGATTCTAGAATTAGAGACAAGTAGAACTTTTTGATTTTATTGGGAGTTAAAAATTTGTCCTATAATATATATGTGTTATTCCTTCTACAGAACTGCGACCTGGACCAGCAAAGTATAGTTCATATTGTACGGCGAGCCCAGAGACATGAACAAAAAGGGGACGAAGCTGGGCAGAACAATCCTGGATACTCTAGAAGAGTCCCAGGGAGAGAACCTGAGAGCTTAACCAGAGTGGACCTCAGCAGTAGCATCCTCCCTGCTTATTCTGTAGGCCTGGCTGTTATTCTGGATAATGAGGACAAAGATGCATCTCATCAAGCTGGAAATTCAGGTAATTTCCTGTGCTTATATGCTTAAATGTAGAGGTGACAATGTTTTTCCTTTTCCTTATTTTTTAAAGGTATGTGTGAAGAATGTGCCAAGTAAGGGCAGATATAGAGCATGACATATTTTAGGGAGGGCTTCTTAAATACCTGGGTATTTTAGATCGTATCTTTCGGAAGACATATTTGTTTGGTAGAAACCATTGACTGGGAAACTGGGATGCAGTAGCCTAAATTCTAAGGTGAGTTCACATGGCATACTTGAAATTATGAGCATTCTGTGCAGCATTTATTAAATGCTTACTCTATGCCAGGTACTGTGCTAAGACTGGGAATACAAATCTCAGCAGTTCGTTATTCTTTGAGATTATGTCAGCCTTGGTACTCACACCTTGTCAGTGCCCTCTGACCCTCTGATTGAAGGACTGGAGGGAAAAGCAAAGAACTTCTCCCAAAGCCTCCACATTTAAAGATGGCTGCTAGGCCAACCATCTCTTCATTTCCCACTAGACTATATTAATTTGACTTCTCTACCATGCTCTACAACAGACTGTACAAATTTGACTTATCCACTGTGCGTTACAACAGATACTCTCTCTCCCCTGCATCCTTTTCAGCTTTCTTTTGTATGTGGTCTTCCAGCATTAGATATTAAGCTTCTTGCAGAGAGAGATTGTCATTTGTGTGTGTGTGTGTGTGTGTGTGTGTGTATGTGTGTGTGTGTATTCTTAGAGCTTACACAGTGCCAGGTACATAGTAGGTGTTTAATAAATGTGTATTCATTGACTGGCTATAAAAGACAGGTAGGTGGGAGATCGACTATATTCTTCAAGGAACAGCAAGACGGTTGTTGTTACTCTGGATCATAGAATGTATTAAGGGGATTAAATCGTAAGAAGACTGAAAACGTACTCCCATAGTAGGTACTTAATCAATGTTTATTGACTTGACTTGAAGGGGCCAGGTTGTGAGAATTTTTAAAAGCCAAATAGGATTTTACATTTCATCCTGGCAGTAATTGGGAGTTATTAGAGTTTTTTGAGTGAGTACAGGGGTTGACGTGGTCAGCCTTGTGAGTTGGCAGCCCAGTGCAGAATGGATTTAAGTGGGGAAAGACTTGAGGAAACGGTATCAAACAAAAGGCTTATATATTATAGTCCCAACTTGAAGGGATGGGAGCTTGTACCAGGGTGACGCTTCTGAGAAATGGAGAAATGGAGACCTATTGGACAGAAGCTCTAAAGGTAAAAAAAGAGAAGTCTTGGCAACAGATTGTATCTGTGGAGTAAGTGTGAGTTGTGTTGTGTGCAAGTGTTATTGTCAGCTAGGTGGTGAGTCTGGATGAGTGAGAGAATGATGGTGCCTTTGACAGAATCTGGAAAGTTTGGAAGTGGGAAGGGCTTGAGAATCATCTGCAAAGAGATAATAGTTAAACCCGTGGGAGTTAGGTCATTAAATGAAATTGTATAGAAGGAGAACAGAGGAGGGCCCTTGGGCAGTCTCTCTTTTTTTTTTTTTGTGAGGCAATCAGGGTTAAGTGACTTGCCCAGGGTCACACAGCTAGTAAGGGTCATGTGTCTGAGACTGGATTTGAACTCAAGTTCTCCTGATTCCAAGGCCAGAGCTCTATCCACTTCACTACCTAGCTGCCCCTCCTGGGGCAGTCTCTTCAGAGATAGACATCATTAATAAGTTTGATGAAATTCCAGCAAAGGAGACTGAGAAGGAGTGGCCAGATAGGTAGGAGGAGAACCAGGGAAGAATGGTGTCATGAAAACCTAGAGAAGAGAGAGTATCCAGGGAAAGGTGATTGTCAGTTAAAGGCTGCAGAGAGGACAAAAAGGATGAGAGTTGAAAAAAGGCCATTAGGTTTTGCAATTAAGAGACAGTTGGTAACTTTGTAGGGGGATGTTTTCAGTTGAATGTTCAAATCAGAAACCAAACCACAGAGGACTGAGAAGAAAGTGAGAGGACAGGAAGTAGAGGCACATATTGTAGAAGGCTTTTTCAAGGAGTTTATCCACAAAAGGGAGGAGACCTATACCAAGATAGCTATACCATGATAGGTATGATTGGATCCAAGTCAGTGTTTTTTTCTTTTTTTGTTTGTTTGTGTTTTAGGATAAGGGAGAAATGGATGTGTTTGTAGGCCACAGAGAACCAACCAGTAAATAGAGATTGAAAATTAGTGCAGAAGTGGGATAAGAGAAGGCACAATCTACTAGAGAAGATAGAATAGAATGGGATCAAGGCTGTGTCTAGCAGGAGGCCAAGAGTTGGGTATGTCTTTCTTTACGTTAAAAAGTTTGCTTTTCTCATCTAAAACTTGTCTCCAAGCTTATCTCTAGGAAGCTTACCCCACTTGCACTTCCACAAAGTATGAACAATTAAAAATCTCCTAATCCTCTTTCTTATATGGCACTTCTAATGTAAGAAAAAGAAAAGTAATTACTGCTCATCTAGCTCTTCCTTAGAATGTTACATTGTAATAGGCTAGAATTTCCATTTCTTTTATAGAGCCCAGAATAATATGTGTGGTTGTTAAAGTCAAAAAACTAAGCAAAACAAACCTGGAGTACCATGAAATCACATCAAGCTAGAGATAAGTTGGTTTACTATATGGATTTGCTCCACTGAGGTTCAACTAAGGTTTCCAGTAGTGTATAGAATATTAAGATTGAACCTAAATATGACATTTTTAAAAAAGTCTAACAACACACATTCACATGGCAATACTCTTTCTTTTTATTTTCTTTTTCTCTACAACTATTGGGCAGGTGAAAATATCAGTCATAAAAATTAATCATAATGTGAAGATCAATCCTAATTTGTTATCACTGGCAAGGATGAACACTGAAATCACAGATCAATCATTTATTGAAATATAATACCTAAAAAGCAAATTTGGATCAAAGTCTATAAATAGGCAACAACTATTAGCAAAATAATCCTGTTTGTGATTCTTTGGTAATGGCTAATTGTTAGTTTAAGGGAGACTTTGTGCTTTCATGTTGATTGTTAAAATATACACATATGTAGTGTATGTATATACATATGCCTATGCATATAGGTCTATAGTAGATGGGGTTGGATGTAATTCACAGAAAATCGGTGACTGACAATCCTACAACAAGAGATTGTAATAAATCCATTCATTAATCCATGTATTGAACATGTACTATGTGCCATATATTCTAATGACCATATTAATAATATCTGACATTTATGTAGCACTTTAAGTCTACAAGTAATTTATATTATTCTGTTGAATTACTTGAGGCATAGACTATGGTTGGTTAAATGTGAATTGTTTGGCATAGAAGAAATCTGAGATAGCTTTGAAGTCCAGCCCCAAGAAAAACCACAATCAAAAGAGGAGTCAGAAAGTGAACAAAAGGCGAATATGTGGAAAAAAGACTGAAATTACCAAATATCTCAAAAGTACAAAAATTTTGTTAAAAACCTTGACTATAACCAGGTACATTAACAGAGGAAGATGCTATTAACAGAAGGGAATTTAGTTTCCAAATCAAATAAATGAGTCCCAACATCCATGAATAAATATTAGAAGAAAAAGGAAAATGAATCAAAATCTGATGAAGTAGAGGATCCTATAGATTCCCAAGAGAGCAGGGAACCACAGAAAAAAAGTTCTTCAGTGGTTTAAAAGAGAAATGGGGATTGTGAAAGCAGAATTTATGCCCTCTAATGAAGAAATAATTGGCAGAATAGAAAAACATTTGAAGCCACAGAGGCAAGTTTTATGAAAAAAAAAATCAAAAGACAGAATAACTGATTGCAAATGCAGAAACAGAAGAGAAAGATAAATGGAAGAAGAGAAAACAAAAAACAATAATTAAAAAAAATGATCTCCATACAAGCAAGCCATATTGATTTCAAAGACAGGGTGAGAATTATAGGTCTCCCAGAAGAACATGGGAAGTTAACAACAACAACAACAATAACCACCCAATACCCAACAACAGCAGCAAAACAACAACAGCAACAACAGAAACCAACACCCTAACATCACAGTGCAAGAAATATTACAAGAAAACTGCCCAGAACTTCTGAGCGCTGAAAACAAACTGATAGTCCACAGAATCCACAATTCACCTGTGTGGGAAACAAAAGAAAATCTGGATTTCTCTATCTTTGCCAAGAGAAGAGTATGAGAAAGCTTGTCAAAAGCTTTACGAGAATCTTGATAAACCCCAACAGCAAATTCCTAATATGCCAGACTGGAAACAGTGTCAGAAAAGCATATGAGGTTAGTCTCCTATAATCTTTTTTTTTTTTTTTTTTTGAGAAAGCCCTGGTAGTTTTTTGTGCCTACCACTTCTTTTTCTTTCAGCTCATTAACCATCCTCCTAATAATAAGTCCTGGAATTTTTCCAGTAACCATGGTCAAGCTCATTGATCTGTAGTTTATAGACTTCACCTTTTTTTCCCTTAAAAAAAAAATCTGAACATTTACCCTTCTCTGATCTGGCTCTTCAGTTCTCTGTAATCTTTCCCTCCTTCTTCACCAGTTGTTAGCTTTATTTTTCTTCAACTTTTAGGTCTTTTTCTTTTCTTTCTTTTCTTTTTTTTTTTTTGATTGACAGGCATTAATTTTTGCTCCCCTTCACCTCTGCTGTCACAAAAAAAAGAAAGAAAAGGAAAAAGGAAAATAAAAACTAAACTTTTGAAACAACTTATGAATAGCCATGTAAAACAAATTCCCCTATTGGCCATGTCCAAAAATACATCTCATCCTACTTCCAGAGATCACTGAGTGGCTCAGCAATCACGCCTGCCAGTTATGTCAGTACTCTGAAATATAATTCATCCTACACCTGGTGATTGTAGCTCATCAAGAGCTGCTATTTGTTGTCTTCTTGTCTCCCCCTACCTATCTTGAGTATGCATTCCCTATTAGCAGGTTTTATTTTTTAATTTTGTCCTTTCCAGTCCAGATAACATCCTCCTTGGCAGAGAAAAGAGAAATAAAATAACTAGTGAACGA